ATCATTATTTCAAAAAGTATTAAAATGTAATTTCATACTCCAAAGCAGAATATTTGTATTAGTATTTCGATGCATAAAAATTGAATCATAGGACAAGTTGCTAGATCAGTAAGTAGATCAGTTATAAATTATAAGTATTTAAAGTTTAGATGTGCAGAGCAGTAGAACAAAATTTTACTAACCGCATACCACTCCTCTCCACTCATCTATTCTTTAAAATTTTAATACTTTTAAAGTTATAACTTATCATAAGCTATTATTCCAAAATACAATTTTTATGTCTCGAAATACTCAGAAAAATATTCTGATTTGGAATATTAAATTAAAACAAAGTATATAGTCAATCAAAAAAGTAAAAACTTAAAAATATTTTTTTAAATGTCGTTTTGTTAAGACTTGAAACCATGTAAAAAAACTATTTTCAAAACCGTTAATATTTTTTGAAGTAATGAATGTCTTACTCACTCTTACATTAAATGGATCACTCGACACTTGGTATATCTTACCTGGTATATTTTGTGGTACAGACGCATAGTGTCAATTCTGTCTATCACAAGAATTGAAGAATCGAATTCAAAATATAAATACCCATATAAATCTACACCCGGTTACACGTGAAAGCTATATACACACGCAATGCTTCTATATACCCAAAGGTACTTTAAACTTCTCTATTCATATAAAATATACAGGTATAATATAAAATATATAATGTACACATATATATAAGGGATGATCCATTTAACGAAAGACACTCATTATTTCTGAAAACACTAACGTTTTTGAAAATATTTCTTTGAAATAATTTTAAGTTATTACAAAACAAAATTTTTACTATATTTTATTATTTTTTTAAAAGTTTTTACTATTTCGAAAGACAATATTCATTTTAAATATCATATTCCTAAGCAGAATATTATACTTATTAAATACTGTATATTTCAATGTATCAAAATCGAATTGCGGACATCTAGTTTATTAGTTATAATTTACTATTTTAAGTACTTAAGTTTAGACGAGCGGAGTAGTAAACAATGAATTTTCGGGGTAGCTCTGCTGTACCACTACGGCACTATACAGTACTACACTAGAACACTCCGCTGATTTAAGCTTGAAATATTTACAAGTTATAATAGTTGTGCCCCATAATTTGCTCGTCAAAAATTCGATTTTTACGTATACATCGAAGTACTTCAAAAAATATTCTGCTTTGAAATAAGGAATTAAAATGTATGCCATCATAAAAAAAAGTAAAAAGGTAAAAAATAAAACAATATAAGACACATTTTTGCAATGCATATTTTGTTTTTAACCACTCAAATAATTACATCGAAAAATGTTTAGAAAACTTTTTTGGAAATAATGAGTATACTTATCTTACATTAGATGGGTCACCCGGTATGTTTTATATTCATATGTGTATTTGTGCATAAAATATAATATGACTTCAGCGGATGTATATTAATAGGAAGTACAACAATAAAATGAATGACGGCAATATAATTCATATAATATATAAACATATTTACATATATATATATCATGTGAATGCGATAAATGACAATATAATGTGTGCGTTCGTGCAGTCTGTCAAACGTCAATATTATTCGTTTTTGTTCTCTTATTGACACTTGGCTGGTACGTATACCTAATACCTATAACATATTATATTATAAATCAATCTACGGTCTTCAACGCCGTATACCCACACATAATCGACAAACGCACTTCGACTAAGCTGTAAGCACACAGAATATAATATACCTAATATGCGAAGTTATATACGTATAATACATATAATATATATATATTATAATCTGTCATACACAATTGTGCCGCGCACACGAATATCGCATTTCTATATACCTGTAGAAATTAGTACCAATCGTAGGCACCTATTACATTGCGCAAACGTGGTTCGATAACGGATGTATATAATATTATATAGTAATAAATAATAATCATGCATCACGATTCACTATTCACGGTTCCAGAGTGAAGATAAAAATAATATTAAAATATCACATAATTATGTTATTTGATGTCTCACTTTTTTTTTTTAAATATACAGACTATGTCCCGGATTTAAGATAGGGCATTACGCTCTATCACAGTAATTTTATATATTAAAATATTATCTAAAAGTCTACATTTTAACTAACTAAATGTGTAATTTGAACAGGATCATTGATTATGGATATTATATATAATATTATATAGTTATACCCAATTCATTAATGCGCGCAATTAAATGATTGAATAACTATTTTATAATTAATACTTGGTATATATTTTAACTTTTAAGCATACAGGTTTCTCCCAAAATATGGAGAAGACGTGTTCAAGGTGTGTTTGCATGGTGGGGTGAGCCGTCGGTACGAGGTCCATTTCCATCACCCTAGATCCATCCCTGACGTTACAGCATTATTAAACAGGGGGTGGGTGTTTGTGGGTTCAATACCCTCTGAAAATGTATATTAAATATCGTCTTATTTAAATGCACGGCTATTAATTTGTTATAATTTATATCGATTATTGGTCATGAATTTATGATTTTTAACTCACCACTTCCCCCGTCCAGTCGAATTTATTTTTCTGTTCCTATATACGTGACTGATAAATATAATTCAAATAATAGGTAGGTATAGGTACATTATTTAAATAATATGAACGCACTCGGCCGTAAAGATAATAGGAGCTGTCTGCTGGTATAACATAATACAGACATCAGATTTATTATTGTTATACAGCTATATGTAAGTATATTATGCATAAATATTATGAATTATAATTTATGTACAGAAAATACGTTGTCAAGTCAACATAATTGATTTAAGCCGAACTCGACCGGAAGGTGGTAGTCAGGTATAATCAAACTGAAGAACAAAATTAAATTTGTTATTTCGTTGAAGGTATATATATATAGATATATATTATACGACGTGTCGCCGTGTCTGTATAATATAACCGGATTCTGATCAATACAACATTTTCGGCGGCTGCTGTAGGGGTAAAAGGATTTGGGGCAAAAAGAGACGGGCAATTGGCGAGGCTTTTCAGCAGCAATCTGATTTGCATTTACTAATTGTGATCCTTCAATCCCTGTTATAGATCAATAGCCCCACGACCCACCCCGTTCCCTATAAAGTTTTTAAATGACATACCTAGGTAATTGTTTATACATCCACGACTCCCCATTAATTTTTGATTATCAACATTAGAGTATAAGACGACCGTAGGTACCAGGTATATTGATACATACTATAAAAAGCATGAAAACGATCGTTGAAATTGTTTTATACAATTTAAAATCTAACGAGGTCGTCAATCATGATGTCAAACCCAAACACATCATGATGCTTTTTCTCCTGCCGATAATAATTAAACGATATATGAGTATATTTAACATTATCTTCCTACATAATGGCTACACAACTTACAACTATAATACTTATGGCAATATGGCATATTCATTTAAATTTAATACATTGAAATGTAAAACATACCTAATTGATCATTGTTATCCTTGGACCTTGATATATATTATATTGTAAGCCAGGACATTTCAAATAAATATGTGGTAGGTACATATAAATCGTGTAATGTATATAAATGTATAGTAATATAAATATATATATATATATTTCAGATGCTGCAGTGATATTGCAACCGTCGAGAGCGAATATTGTGGTCTGTAAATATTATGTATGATATAAAAACAAAAAAAAAATGAAAATAAAAACCAAATATATTTTATATATATTTTGCTATTATTTAATTTTTTTTATTAGACATAAGTTCTAATTTTCTAATTTCAGATTTAGGTCAATAGTCAATAATTTAACCAACCAGTATCCCGTAGGTTACTGGCTTACTGATTAAGTATACCTACTCGAGTCTCGCAATTATATAGTTATATCATGAAATTAATAAATAATAGGTAGGAAAATTAATGAAATAAAGAACAATTGTATACAAGTATGATAAAATATATAAAATTCAATGTATGCAATAGGTTTTTGTTGAATTCTGGTTCAGGTTTATTAAAAAGTTGGTGAAATAAAAATTTGATTAGTCAAATATAGTTTTTCTATTCAAACGTTCACGTTGTATTCATATACTATTATACATGAAATACATGTTGTCTTAAACGCTCCTCGATAAGGAAAAACCACCGCAGGTTTGTACGGGGCTATGTAGGTACGTACCTACGCATCTCAAGTACGCAAGCAGACATCTCACATACGCGCAGGTCCTGTAGAATTGTCTCCTTCTCGGTGACATTTTTCCAAGCTAATATCCCACCCTTTTCCACCACCGTGGAAAATTCACAATTATCCTTCCGTAACTCTAAACAGTGACTAGTCCTTTGCATATCATCCTGGTGGTCCGCATCATCTTATTTTGAACGCAGTGGCAGCGAAAATTTCGCTTTTTCGGTTAAAAAGTTGACCGGACGTACCGCGACTCAAAGAAAAATAACGATAATAATAATATCATTGCCGGTCGCACATTTTCGGGCTGGCCGAACCGGCGACACTGCGACAGCCGGCTTCCGCGACCCATAAGTTTCTGGCCCGCCAAGGGGTGGACGATCGGTGCAGGGCGGCGACCACTCCGCTCGTCCGCCAACCATCCCTTGCCACAGCTGTGCCGCCGGAGAGGAGTGAGAGTTTCAAAAATCGAATTGTTTACGAGTATCGCTGCCGCCGCCGCTCACCAGTCACCGCTGTCAGTCGCCACCGCCGCCGCAGCCATCCAGAGCCAGTTACCGTGCAACAGCAGCGCCGCTCTTTGGGTTCGCAGCCACCGTAAAGTTTACTTGAAAAGTGCCAATAATCATAACGGAATAATTAATATTGCTATCGTCATTCGTCACACGCACTCACACACCGCGTACGGATTCTGTGGCCTATGTGCGCCGTGTTTGGACCGTTGAAATGAAGCTGAAAACCATATCGGAAACCGTAAACAAGGACGAACTGTTCAAAAAGGTAAATCAAAAGAAAAAATCTCATCGGCATTCTCGCTTATGTATATGTCCAAATTGCGCCGTCGCGCGCAGCTACCCCTATCACGATGTAACGCACCCTCTCGCTCTGTAACAGGTAGGTAATCTGCTTATTATGCTTCTAAACTCTGGTAGACCTCCTGGTTCCATCTTGACCCAACCATAATCATTTTAATATATTATTATTATATTAAGTATAAATTACGGTAGACTGCCAGCCATGATCAATGAAAGATTTTTTTTACACTATTTTGAAAATAAATTTAAAATTTGTTAGACCCCCCTGCTATTATCGTCCGTGTTACACTAGCTGTTAGTACCTAACGCTATAAACATTTAGTGTTGCACTAATTTATTATTAAAAGAGCAAATGGTAGCATACTTATTTTATGTATTAGGATGAATGAGTAAAACGATAGTGTTACACCGCAGTAACAGAAATAACATTGCTTGAAAATTGCTTGTCCCATATGATGTTATTACAAATTTATAATAACTGTGACAATCTCTTACTAAAGTGTTTTTGTTTTTTATTCCAATGTATGATTTTGATATATAGGTGTGGAACCTTTCTGCAGATCATTGTATGGATGTTGTATTAATGATGTTCTCACACGCAGAAGGTACAACACTACTTGGCACACACAAGCTTGAACAATTTATTGTGACTACTGAACTTTGTCGTTTTACTTCGATGATGTTTAATCGTCCACCGCTATACCGTCCTGCTCTAGACTGCACAGTCGCAAATGATTTTGTTTCTACAGAATTTGAACGCTATATTGATTTGGTTGAAGATAATGTAAGTATAGTTTTATAAACTGTTGTGTATTTAGTATTTATTTTATGGTTTATTTGACATCCTGTAAAAATTTGTTTTAGTATGTTGACAAATAAAATATCTAAAAAATAATTGTACCTACTATTTGTTTTAACTTCTAGATTTATATTTTTAACCCAGTAGACTTGATATCTTAAATGGTTTTAAATGACGCAGTGTGATCATAGACATTGGGTTGATATTTAAAAGGAAAATTATATAAATCATTTAATCTGAGATAGTAAATTTTGTTTATATATTTTCCAACTAAAACTGTTAATAATTGTTGAAATAGGCTTATGAATTGTCAAGTGCTCCTAATAGCGAGGTACTTGTAATCATTGCAAACAACGAATGCCGCAAATTTATTTTTGCTTCTCCACGTTTACGCCCGTATATCATGTCCAAGGAATGCATCTCTGTCATCGAAAGATGCTTGGGCAAAGGCACTTTCTCTGCTGGTCAAGAATCTGATATGGATAAATAGCAATTAATATCTTTTGCATCACTACAAGTAAGCACTCTAATCACACACACATTATTTATTCTTGTTGAATTGTACATTAATGATATTTTTTATTTTCATTACAGTTCTCAGTGCTGCTAAACGTCTCCTCGTGACATATGATAGTCTTCATGGAAAATCAGTCTAAAAGTACCTATCTTGATGCTTGTCTGTGCTATCTTTATAATAATAATACTACTAATAATAATAATAATTATATTAATAATTTAAATAATAATAATAATTATAAAAATAATAGTAATTTTAGTATTAAAACAATATTTAATGTTTTCCATAAGCATCGCTTATAGTATTGGGTCCTTTTTAGTAGAAGTAGAGTCACAAGTTACCTGTTTTCCAAGACTTATTGTTTTGTGTTTTATATTTTATAATATTTATTTTTATTTACATTGATTTAATTTAATATCTATATTATATTATATACATATTTTTTTTTAAATTAAGTTAAATCCAAGGCAAAAAAAATACAGCAAATACATGAGTTGATGTTAGATTTCTAAACACATTATTTTATTTAAGTATTGATTTAAAAGGCTGTATTCACCGTATTAGATCTCATTTTGTTATAATTTTTTTTTTTAACTATTTATATTACTGCAATTGGAAAACAATACCTAAATGCTTAGCAATTGTGAAGATTTATCAATAATCTAGCATTTTTATATACACGAGTGAGACTGCGTAGTGATATAATTAGATTTATTTTTATTGTTTCTAATTATTTTTATTATTATTATTTTTTTTTTGTTTGGCTAATGATTTTATACATTTAAGACCCACTGTAGTTTTTTTTTTAGTAATCATTGAACTTTTTTTTTGTGTTGATATTTTTCAATGTTTGTTTAACTTCAATAAATTTAAACTATTGTATACTTAAATTTGTGGTACACTCTATGATTGAACTGTATTACTAGTCATATTACTTTTTCTTTGCCAAAATTTTTGTGTTCATAGTTTTTGCCTAACATTTTAATATAACTATTGAGTACCTATCAACCTTTAATATATTAATCTATTCAGACCCAGATATGTCTGAAAAGTTACTAAGTAAAATTGAACTGATTTGTTAACATATGACTGAAAATACTTTTCTGAATCAAGTGTCATAACTATCATTGTACAGAAAACTGGAGTCTGGAAGTATCGACAATTTCCATTTGCAAGTTTGCAACGTACAGTTTATTTTTCTGGGTGGCTACAAATCTAGTATACAAAATTAATTCAGTTACAAAATCGGTTACAAAATTAATTCAGCAACCCAGTCTCTGATAATTGATACTTTAAACTAAAATATGATTAAAAAACTGGAGGGCTAAAGTCCCCAAGCCTTCCTAACTATGGCTGTGGTTGTAAGGTTAGGTTGACTGTAACACTGTAGGCTGCTTTACCATACTGCTTCTTAGCCAATTTTTTAATCTTTATGTCAGTTAAAAGCTGAGTTTAAATGTTGCTTAACACCTTAATTACAGGGGGTAACTGGCAATTCTGCTTATTACAGTATATTTATATAATACAATTGAAGTGTAAAATAAGAAAAAAAAATATTATCTTATAATGAATTCTTCAAAAATATAATTACATGTCAAAACTAAGAAGGTACTTATTTACAAACATAAATACAATTCTAAGTGTTTATTTGAAGTGCAGATTGCATTTTAGTGCCTAGAAGACGAATTAAACCAAACCATTAATTTTAATACAGTGCTAGATAAATATTATTGTCAAAGTGAAAAATACAATTTAAATGGTATACTTACTATGCTCAAAATAATTGATACACAATGAAAGAATTGTTGTAAAAATAATATCTATGTACAATTATATTAATCTAATTATTTATTAAACCCCTATTATCGTCTTATATGCATTGCTAATTTTTTTTTTTATTAGCTTTTTTTTTAAATCAAGCTCAACTAATGACCCCACCTTATTCTTTAACAAATTCATCAGCTGGTTCTTTACTAACATAATTTATAATAATTACAACAACATTTCTAATTATATTACTTCTTATCATTAAGTTATTGTAAATATTTATCACATTCTTCTGGGCTTTGGCCTATATCTTATAAAATTAAAATTAAATAACATCTCCCCGAAATTAACACATTTGAAATTTGCTACCTACTCAAAAAACATTTTTTATGCAAAACTAGTTTTTGATAAAATCAATTTTAGTTTTTAGTGTAACTTTAAAAAAATCATTGTAAACACATTTTAAATTTTCACAGAAAATTTATTTTAGTATACTTTAAATACTGCACAATTTTTTTTAAATTATTGTCGATTATAAAACGTTTGCTTTATCAAAAATTAGAAAATTTAATATAACGTTTCTCAGGAGTTTTTTTTCTCTAAAGTTAAAATTTTGACATAATTCGTTAAAATCACGAAAATATGCAAATTATAAATTCATAAGACATTTTCTGCTTAGGCACCTACATCTAAGATTTGAAAATTTAATGCAAGATTCCTGTTTGCTTATTCTTAATATCCTTCACAAAAAAAAGTCTACCGGAAAGTCAAATTATTTTTTAATGAGTGTTTGAAGTTAAATTTTTTTTACATTGAATATTTTACCGATTCCTCATTAAGCGATTAGGTATCTTATTTTGTTGTGATTTCAAAATAACTGTTGACACTTGAGATTTTGAAATGCTTATTTTATCGTTGTCCACACATGATACAATTTTCAAACTATTTTAACTCTCTTTGTGCTATTTATAGACATTTTCAATTGTATTTTTGTCTATAAATTTTGATTAAATTGATTCCGTTGTGCTTGAGGGCGTTGTTGGGTATATATAGTTGTCAAATATTCTTCGATACTCATCGAGTTATTCTTTTCGTTTAAAATCTTTTAACTAATTTTATTCTTACGGATTGATATTGGTAATATCTGCAGATTGTGTTTTCTTTTCGGGTTCTTTTAGATTCATGTAAATTATTAAGTATCCATTAGGTCCTATGCTAAACTCGATCGCCGTTAATTTAGTTTTTAATTTTTCGGATAAGGTTCCATATTATAGTAAAGGTAGGACGTTCAATATTATTGACCAGCTTATAGTTTTTAGAAACTGTTGAAATCTTTCAACAATTAACTGAGTTATTGGTTACCTACCTTTTAATATGACATAATATGATATGTCGTAGTCATTGCATTATTTCCATAGTAAATAGGTACCTCTATAGTAAGTAACTATGTACACATGAACAATTACTATAACGTCTAACGACTAATTGTATTGCCGCAATAAAATGTATAACTAATTTAATAAATAGGACAAATAGGTAGGTACCTATTTAACTATAATTACGTTTGTGACTTGAGTAGATGTAGAAATGTATGATGTATCAAATTATCATTTTTATAATTCAATATCCTATATGTCTTTTTTTCAAATTAATTATCCTGCTGCAACATAGGCAATTGGGTACTATTAGCTATTTTAAGGAGTTACGTTAGGGTTGGTACTGTGGTCGGAAACTCGTGTTTGTGTGGCAAGGTTTTTGTCACTAAGAACCCGGATGGTCACCCATCTGGGAAATAATGTCAGTGGACGGTTGCGTGAGTGCTTGCAGCAACCGCACCATGTCAAGAGGTCGGAGAGCGTTAAATATTTTTCGAGCAGTATTGTTTCAGGGAATTTTTTTCTACAATTTACTAAACGATAAATTTGTAGTAAAAATATTTGGCTGTTTTCAAATGTGGACATTACAGGCACACGCAATTTACTAATATGAAGTTCGTAACACCGATTTTGATTCAAATAACGTTCTGAAACACGGTATGTCATGGTAATATGGTCATAGAACAATATATTTTATGATATGGAATAACTTGGACATATTTTTCGTGGTGTCGACTGACTGTCGTGTGCATGACGTCTTGCATCTTGCCAGTCGTGTTGTGTTACTTGTAGTATACTATGCTCGTCTATGCTTGTTGTTTTTATATGTTGCTATTTGCTTATGACAAGGCAAGTCGATTTTTTTGGACAATTTTTTTAGATAAATTTTGGCCACGATATTTAATACAAAATGGACGTCCTACTAGTTATTTGTTTTTAATTTCTGTACAGCTGTCAGCTGTAGTACTTATGTCAATTTTTAGAACTAATGATTAAAATGATCTCTAATGACTGGTAAGTAATTACAATTTTCAATGTTTTAATTCTCGTAAGTTCGTAAGAATATTCAGGTTATATTTCGGCAATGGTAGTTACTAATTTTCGCGTCAGCCAAATATAATGTTTTTTTCATTCGTCACTGGTTATCAAATATTGATAACAGATAATACAAATTAATTTCTGCTAAATATTAGGTTCAATCTTAGATCATATATACATTGTACATAGTCTAAGGATTCAATTTTACATCAAATTAAAAATGCAGTTCCCTATCTATAGGTATTTAATAACTTTCTTCTAATAATTTTATCATATTCAAATTATTTTATTAATTCTACTTTTTATTTTTTTATTGATTGAAAAAAAAAATATATTTGTACCTCTTATAGGGGCCGTTACCCTTGTCCAATTTTTTATCTTTTTATTACTTTTATCATTTTCAAAAATTTTAATTTTAAAAATAATTTTTACATTTCTAGTCTATTTATATATGTAGTCGATAGCACACAGGAATATCTTTAAAAAAAAACTACATTTTTTAATTTTTAATTTTCGTAGGCTCTAGGTCACTCATTTTTAATTTTTGTAATACAGTCATATACCTACGTTTCTTTTATATTAATCAATATTAAATAATTACTTTTTAATTTATGGTATAATTAATTTATAATCTTAAAAAATAATTTTAATATAAAAAATCAATACAGCAAAAAAACTGAATTTATAATTTAAGTTATGGGCCCCATCAAAAAACTAGACCCGGGCCCCAAAATTCCTAAATTGGGCTCTGGGTTTTGTTTGAAAAAGTTTTTTTTGCCAAACGGCAATAACTAAAAAAATAAAGAAGTTAGAACCCCCCTCTTAAAATGGTTATTTTTAATAACCTAAGGTATAGCCGTATAGGTACTATGAAATCCGCCGGACATTGGTCCGGAATATACATTGTATATCAAGATTCCACTATTTCACAGTCAATTTCCGATATATATGTTACTCTGCTAAATCCACCCTACTTAAATATAATTCATTTTTATTACGGTTTCATTTTGATGAGCCAACTGTGAACTAATTAAAATATTACGCAATAAGTGCGTATTAGGTATCACCATTGATATTTGATTTTATAAATAATAATATTATAATTAATAATAATTAATAATTTAATAATTATATTATATAAAATCAATGGTATCACCAATACCAGATA